CCCTTCCCTTCCCCTTTTCTCTATTGCTTTGCCATGTCTTTTTCTTCCTTTCCTTTCCTTCCTTCCTTCTTTCCCTTCCTTCCTTCCTTCTTTCCCACCTTCCCTCTCTCTCTATCCTTCCTCCTTCCTTCCCTTCCCTTCCCCTTTTATCTATTGCTTTGCCATGTCTTTTTCTTCCTTTCCTTTCCTTTCCTTTCCTTTCCTTTCCTTTCCTTTCATATCCTATACTTCTATGGCAACTATGACTATATTTCTTTGCTCTAAGAAATAATGGCATGTAGCACTTCCTTCCTTCCATCCAACTTTCCTTTCCCTTCCTTCCTTCGATCTTTCCTTCCTTCCTTCCTTCCTTCCTTCCTTCCTTCCTTCCTTCCTTCCTTCCTTCCTTCCTTCCTTCCTTCCTTCCTCTTCCTGCTACAAAATGTTAGGCCAATGCCTGAAAATCTGGGGGGGGGCGACCTTTAAAAACATTAAAAGTTCTCCGGTCCTCTCCCCTTACTTTCTTGTTTGGAAAAATGCCATCCGCGCCACTGTTCATCCACGGGACCCGCCGATCAAAACTTCTGCTACCCCTGTCTATCATTCCCCCCCCCCCCCGTTTAATTTCTGCCAGGCTGAATTTCAGAGCCAGCTTCCCGCACCATCTTGTCCGAGGGCTGGAACAGACTGACGGTTAAGAAGGCTCCCTGATGGATAATCCAACGCTCAGACGAGAGGATTGAAGCCCCCCCAGCCCCCGCTTTCCCCTGGGAGGCTGGCAGGATCTGGGGACAGCTGCCATCAACTCAGAGACAGATGGTGGGGCCCCCAATCTGCTGCTGACGAGACAAACCCTCTACGCGCAATGTCGCTCAAGAGGCCCACGGATGGTGGCTTATTGTCCAGGGTGGTTTGAGACAAAGAGGGAGCAGGCTGGGCCCTGAGTAGGCAGCCAGGTGGCTGAGAGGGTGGCCTGGTCCTCCATCTGTTGACCTTCAGGCCTCAGTTTGGGCTGAGTGGGTTCTTGAAACGTGAGCCAGCCGTGGGCTGCAGCTGCACGAAAGGCCCAACGCGGTCCTAGGCTGCGTCGACATAGGACCAGGACCGTGTGAAGGGTTAATGCTATTTTGTAAGTCCTTGATCACCAGAGATGGGGACTGCAGCCAAGAAATTAGAAGACACTTGCTCCTGGGGAGGAAAGCTATGGCAAATCTAGGCAGCATACTAAAAAGCAGAGACATCACCCTGCCAACAAAAGTGCGTGTAGTCAAGGCCCTGGTTTTCCCAGTTGCAATGTATGGCTGTGAAAGTTGGACCGTAAGAAAGGCTGAGCGCCAAAGAATGGAGGCCTTTGAACTCTGGTGCTGGAGAAGACTCCTGCGAGTCCCCTGGACTGCAAGGCGATCCAACCGGTCAGTCCTAGAGGAGATCAACCCCGACTGCTCTTTAGAAGGCCAGATCCTGAAGTTGAAACTCAAGTCCTTTGGCCACCTAATGAGAAGGAAGAAGAGCCTGATGCTGGGAAAGATGGAGGGCAAGAGAAGAAGAGGCGACAGAGAATGAGATGGCTGGATAGAGTCACGGAAGCAGCAGGCGTGAACTTAAATGGAGTCCAGAAGATGGTAGAGGACAGGAAGGCCTGGAGGAACGTGGTCCATGGGGTTGCGATGGGTCGGACACGACTTCGCAACTAACAACAACAGCAACAAGTCCTTGGTAAGACCACCCTTGGAATACTGCATAAGGGTTTGGTTGTTGTCATTTTAAAAAGATGTTGAGACTCTGGAAAGAGTGCAGAGAAGAGCAACAAAGACAATCAGGGGACTGGAGGCTAAAATGGAGGACAAACGGGTTGCGGGAACTGGCTGTGTTTATTCAAACGAAGAGAAGGATTAGGGAGACATGATAACAGTCTTCCAATATTTGAGGGGCTGTTACAGAGAAGATGAGGGGGTGTCCACCTCCAAAGCACCTGAAGGCAGGACAAGAAGCAACGGATGGAAACTTACGAAGGAGAGAAGCAACCTGGAACTAAGGAGAAACTTCCTGACAGTGGGAACAATTAACCCGTGTTTTAGACCGTTTTAATCTCCAGTCCCCTGATTGTCTTTATTGCTCTTCTCTGCCCTCTTTCTAGAGTCTCAACATCTTTTTTACACCGTGGCGACCAAAACTGGATGCAGGATTCCAAGTGTGGCCTTACCAAGACGTTGTAAAGTGGTATTAACACTTCTCAGGATCTTGGTTCTATCCCTCTGTTAACGCAGCCTAGAATTGTCTCTTTTTCAAAGCTTACAGCTTCTGGAGAAAAGCTGTTCCCTTGGTTGATTGCTCCATTATGCTGCCATTAACTCAATTGTGGAAACTTCCCATGCTAAGCAAGGCGGTTGTTAAATGAGGGGTGCCCAATTTTGGGAACTTTACCTGCGATGGTTCTTAGGTAAACCACTGTGGTTGTTAAGCGAATCACGTAGTTGTTAAGTGAATCCAGTTGCCCTCATTGAATTTGCTTGTCAGGAGGGGAAAGTTGCAAATGGGGCTTACAGGATGCTACAACGATCAATAAATGCATGCCAGGGATGATCGCGTGACGGTGGGGAAGGCTGAGACGGTCGTAAGTACGAGGACCAGCCCTAAATCCCTTTTTCAGCGCTGTTGTAACTTCCAACAGTTGGTAAATGAGTAGTTGTAAGCCGGGGACTAGCTATGCCGGCTAACCGAGGGGCGGTCACGGAAAATAATAACCCGTTATTCCAGTTTATAAAACGATCGTCAATTCTGGCTGAGAATTGTCGGGATGGAAGTCCAACCTAACAACTTTAGAACTACCTCAGACTACAGTTCCAATGACTCCCAGCCAGTAGGGCTCCTAGCCTGGTTGGCTGCCGTGAAGGGAACTGTAGTCCAGTAATCCAGAAGGCTGTGATCGTGAGTAGGCCTGAAGAGAGAGAACAAGCGCTAATTTGGCACCGTTTAGCTAATTCCCAGGATTCCTTGTGCGGAGCTGGAATGTTAATTAGTGTTCCTCCCCCTGGTGGCTGCTCTTGGGATGCCAGGGGAGCTGTGCATTCTGGGAGTAATGGTGTGTGAGGAAGAGAGAAGGCGAGGGGGCAAAAGAATGTTGCCTAGTGCAGGATTCTCCAATCTTGGCCATTTTAAAACCTGTGGACTTCAACTCCCAGAATTCCTCAGCCAGCTTTGCTGGCTGAGGAATTCTGGGAGTTGAAGTCCACAAGCCTTAAAGCGGCCACAATTGGAGACCCTCTAGCCTAGTGCACAGTTAGATAAGAGACAGCTCAGCCCTCAGCTGCATAACGGACGGAGAAAGAAGTTCAGAAGGGATCCTCCTTACTTTCTCCGGATGTAAAAGTAACAGTGGGAGATTTGTACTTTCGCACCTGTAAAAATGCTGTTAACGTAGCCTTACAGTAAAATAGAATCAACTCATCTGGTTGTGTTTAGTGTCTGGCCTAAAGCCGACATTCCTTTTCCGAGTCTGAAAGTACCAAATTCCCACCGCCTCTTTCACCGCCTGAGAAACTACGGAGAGTCCCCCATGATCCTGTTCCTGAGCGCTGCTGTATCAGAGAGAAATTCCTTGTGCGTCTAATTGTAGCTGGTTAAATAAGGTAGAGGTAGTCCTCGGCGTACGACCAGAATTGCGCTCAGAATTTCTGTCACTAAGCAAGACACTGAACCAGTTGTTCAGTGAATTTGGCTTCCCCTTTGAGTTTGTTGGTCAGAAGGCCACCAAAGGGGATCGCGTGACCCCCCGGGACACTGCACAAACCATCATAAATACGAGTCGGTGGCCAAGCGTCGGATTCTCGGTCACGTGCACGTGGGGATGCTGCAACGGTTGTAAGAGTGAAAAGCAGTCATAACATGCTTTTTTCAGCGATGTTGTAGCCACTAAATCAGTGGTTCTCAACCTGTGGGTCAGGACCCCATTTGGGGTCGAACACCATTTCACGGGGGTCGCCAAACAACGCAGTCCGCCATTTTTTTTCCCCCTTTTCCTTAGCTGTGCTACTCCCTTTTAGTCTATTGGCTTTTGAAAGCCCATAGAAGAGACTCTCTTGAATAGAGTCTAATTCTATTGGCTTTCAAAAGCCAATCGGAATTGTCCAGGCTGTCTCTGCCCTGCTGAGCCTGCCAAAAGTCCCAGTCTGCAAACGGTGCTGCACCAGTTGAGTAGTCCTTGACTTACGACCGGTTGAGTAGTCCTCGACTTACGACTGATTGGAGGGTCGTGGCATTAAAAAGGTTGAGAAACACTGCACTAAATGAACTGTCGTAAGTCGAGGATGACCTGTATTCAATTCCATTTAATTCCTGCAACCATTATGTAGCCGAGGGCTAAGCTGCCTCTTATCTAGTCATTCCCTAAGTGTCTTTTCTTCCATCTTCCATGCCATTCCCGCCTGCCATCACCAATTCCCACCCACATCTGGAGCCTGCCAACTGGAAGGCTAATACTAACACCCCTCCTGCAATAACAAACCAAACAACCCCACCCCATACACACACACACACACTCTTTAATACTCACTAAAGCTTGGGTTTCATGGCACCATTTCAATCCAGGGGGTCCTAGAATCGGATCGGCTCCTTCAAGAAGCCTTCTCGTTCAGTTGGGGGCTGACAAATAGTCGTAGGATAGGGGGCAACGAATGGTGTGTCCCCCACCCCCATCCTGTGAATAAGGATACTCAACAGCACTGCAGACCTTTCCCCAAATCCAGAATCTGCCCTCCCAAACGGACAATGTTGATGGATCTGCTGCCTTGGGAAATCTTTTGGGTTCAGTTTGGGGGGGGGGAGGCGAGTCGAAAACGGGGTGAACAGTCCTGCTTCTCAATGCCAGCTTTGTTTCCTGCATGAAAAGCTTGCCAGCCCTCTGGTCTTCTTCCAAACAAAGCCAGGCACCCACCAATACACAGTCCTGGGATCGAATCCCACCCCCACCCTCCCCCGTTGCCAGAAAGTTGCCCGCAGCCTAAAATCTGTTCCTCCTCCTGCTTTACAACCGTCTTCCCACCCCCTTCTAGGACTCCCTTGGGCGTCTGCGGTTCTCATCACCCCTGACACACCACTCATCACGGAGATGGCCCCCCTGTGCTCGTGTCGCCCACCCGCTCCCAGCCCACCGCTTCCTGGGCACCGGAGATAACAGAAGCCCTTAGTGGCCTTGGCTCAAGTCACAGTGAGGTATTTTGAGAGCGGCTTGGCTGGGAATTAGGGTCCCTCCTGGAACTTGGGAGGAGGAGAAACAAGGGGCCGGCCCACAAGGAGGGTGTGGAGGGGTGTGTGTCGCAACCCACCCAATGCATAGCTCAAACGGTGAGCTGAGAGAAAAGCAAATAGCACCAGTTAACCACCTTTGCAGGGGAGAACCACCAGCAGTCTGTATCGGGTGAAGGAGGACTTAAACCGAATATTGCGATGTGGGAATGGGACATCCTGATGCTTGCTGGACTGCCACTCCCGCCATCCCACCCAAAAAGGACCGGGACGGCCCCAAGGCCTGCTCACTCGGGCTGCTTGGACCCCATTTCAGCCCAAGTGCCCTGGAAGGGTCCCTCCTGGCCAGCTCACACAGTGGTCTCATATTCCAACAGCTCCTGCGATGCCCCCATACTGCGATACTGTAGGCGTGGTGTGGCCGGAGAGGTGTACTCAAGAGCTAGGATGGTCTTACGTAGACGCCTGTCTATGAAATGGGCGTCCCAGGCGGGGTACTTCTTGCGTGGCAAATCAATGCGGATAACAGGCCCCTCTGTCCGTGGGGCCCGGGCTATAGGGGTGGAAGGCATGCTGGGCCTGACTTGAAAGACCGGCCCGCAGCTATCTCTGTCCCCTGGCATCCCCTCTCGCTCTGTAGTCCTCGGCAAGGAGCGTGGAGGACTGGTGATCACGTCTGGCGGAGGCCCCGTAGCCCGGGGTACGGTGGTGGGCTCTTCCCCACAGAGACAGCCAGTGTTCTGGGCCCCGAAAATGGTCCCACTGGGGTGCAAGAGGCAATAGTAGATGAACATGAAGAAAACTCCCAAAGCAAAGCTGGAGGCTACCACGCACACGACGATCAAGGCGTAGAACTCAGAGACCACGTTCTGTTCGCGGAACCAATACCAGAGGCCCGTCAGCGCGGCGTTCTCCAACAGGGTGATGATGTAGTAGATGGACATGCGGCAACGGCTGCGGCCTTCCTTGACGTTGAACCAGCAGAAGATGTAGATGATGCCCACCACCATGTTGTAGATGATCTCCTCCCACTTGGACATGCAGAAATCCGTCTCGCCTTGGATGATCCAGAAGGTCATGATGCACCAGTGGGTGACGATGAAGATGCTGAAGTAGAGCTGAAAGACAGAGGCGAAAACGGCGAAGGCGATGGCTCGGGCGGCAATGGTGAAGAGGTGCCACAGGATCTGGACCATGGCACCTTTGTAGGACATGGGCATCTTGTCTTCCCGGGAATCCCGGAGCACCTTTTGGTAGGAGGCCAGAGTCCAGGCGAGAGACACCAGCGAGGCAGAGGCTGAGAGACCTTCCCAAGAGACAAACAAAGAATTAGGGAGAAGATAGGGTGTCTTTGAAGGTTCTCCAGGAAAGAAATGGAACTGAAGCTGGAGGAGACCACAGGGGTGGGGTGACCGCCTCGAGCCCGGATGGGGGGGAGGGGGAAAGAGCATTGATCTGAAAGAAAAACGAAGAGGAGACAAGGAGAGGACACCTTGGAGGTACATCACCGAGGAGACAAAGAGGCTGGAAGTTCAACCACCTAACATCTACATTGGTGTTCATACATGGGAAAGAAGTCAGGAGAAGTCAAACCAAAGTGACAAATTTAGAAATGATGATGGAGAAAAAATGGAGTGTGGTTTGCAGAGTGGAGGAGGAGGAAGGAGGACTGTGGGGTCCTTGGTGATCTCTGAGCTGGGTTTTTTTTCCTGGAGGCGTTTCATGACCCAGCTAGGGAACATCATCAGGGCTACCATGAAACGTCTGCAAGAAAACAATCAAAATCAGAGAGCAGTAAAGACCCCACAGTCCTCCTCCTCCTCCTCTTCCTCCTTTTCCTCCTCCTCCTCCTTTTCCACCTCCACCTCCTCCTCTTCCTCCTCCTCCTCCACCTCCTCCTCCACCATCACCTTCTCAACCTCTTCTTCCTCCTCCTCCTCCTCCTCCTCCTCCTCCACCTCTTCCTCCTCCTCCTCCTCCTCCTCCACCTCCTCCACCACCACCACCTCCTCCATCACCATCACCTCCTCCTCCTCTTCCTCCTCTTCCTCCTCCTCCTCCTCCTCCTTTTCCTCCTCCTCCTCCTTTTCCACTTCCACCTCCTCCTCTTCCTCCTCCTCCTCCACCTCCTCCTCCTCCACCACCACCACCTCCTCCTCCACCATCACTTCCTCATCCTTCTTCCTCCTCCTCCTCCTCCACTTCCTCCTCTTCCTCCTCCTCCTCCTCCACCTCCTCCACCACCACCACCTCCTCCGCCACCATCACCTCATCATCTTCCTCCTCCTCCTCCTCTCCTCAAACCCCACTCCCTTCCAGCACTGATGAGGTTACATAATCGGGTAACGAGGCATCTGCCAGAAATTCACCCAGCTCAGGGAGCACCAAGGAAGGACCTGATTCCCAGTTTACACTGAGTAGAGTTCCTTGGAGGTGCCTTCCCCCAGATCTCTCACTACCAGTGGCATGCTCTCAGCTTCCCCACGTGTCTCTCACGCCCCTTCCCTGCCCACCTGGGGCACCCTCCACGTACCCTGCAGCGGGTCAATCCGGTTCTGTTGCAGCATGATGCTCAGCTGCAGCACCAGCTGGGGGCCGCTCTTGAGGAAGGTCTCCAGAAGGCGCAACATGCTGACGTCGGCGCACTCGAACATCATCCTCCAGTAGAAATGGCGCTCGCGATGCTCGGACTGCCACCGGCTCTGGAGACCCAGGTAGAGGGTCCTCAGGTACCTGTTGAAAAGGGCGGGGAGAGAGGAAAGCAAGCACAGGTAGTCCTCAACTTACAACCATAGCTGAGCCCAAAATTTCCACTGCTAAGCGAGGCAGCTGTTCACTGAGTTTTGCCCCTTTTTTGCCGCCATTGTTAAATGAATCACTGCAGTTGTGAAGTCAGTGTGGGCAGTCCTCGGCTTACGACCACAATCAAGCCCACGGTTTTGTTGCTAAGCACAACAATGGAGCTCCACCAACCCCATCCCTAACTTGGTTTTTAGGCGTGGGCCTCACCCCAAAACTAGGGCTTATATTAGGTCTATCCCCCAAAATCAAGCTGGGGTAGTGGTGGCGAACCTATGGTATAGGTGCCAGAGGTGGCACTCGGAGCCCTCTCTGTGGGCACATGTCCCGTTGCCCCAGCCTCGCCTCCCCCCTTGACTCCAGCAGCCCCCCTGGAGGAGAGTCGCCCCCGAGCATGGCCCACGTGGAGCAACGTAGCCAAGGACATGGCAGCTAGGCAGCGTGTAGATAAGACTCTGTCCTCACACCCCATCATGCAGTTGATGCTGCAGGGCGCGGGCAGAGGGTATGGCCACCATAACAATGCAGGGTTGCCTGGGCGATCTGCAGCGGGCCCTGGAGGCAGTGAGTGGTCCTGTGGGCAGGCGGGGCAGGGGATGGGGGGGGGCAGAGTGGGAGTGGGGCAGGGGGGATGGAGTGGGGGCGGGGCCAGTTTTCGGGCACTTGGTCTCTAAAAGTTTCACTAGGGCTTATTTTAGGGGGCAGGTCTTATTTTCGGGGAAACACAGTATTCATAGATCTTTTGGAAGAATTTTCAAATATATACCTGGCTTAGAACATTGCATCCTTTATATTACATGCTAGTCATTCTAAAATTTGGCTGTACCAAATTCAACCATCCAACCATATTTTGAGAAGGCTATGCATATTTTTTAAAGATTTGAGCCTAATGTTTTTAGATTAAAAGTAAGATATACAGTAGCTCTCCCATCACTTCCAGCATGATTTTTAAAATCATTCAGCAGTGAGCAACTGCAAAATGGCAAGTGTTAAAAAGAGGGGGTACTTCAATCATGCAATGAGATACATTCTCTTGACTATTTGATGCCCCCGTGGGTTCCCCTGTTGAAGACCATATTCTTCAGGTTATGTAGAACCATATAATACTACTAATAATAATACTAATAAAAAAGTTCAAAGGGACCTTGGAGGTCATCTAGTCCAACCCCCTGCTCAGGCAGGAAACCCTACACCAGTGATGGCGAACCTTTTAGAGACCGAGTGCCCAAACTGCAACCCAAAACCCATTTATGCATCGTCGGGTGCCAGGTGGGTGTGGCCCATTGGGTGGGTGTGGTGAATTGGGTGGGCGTGGGTGTGGTAATGGCAGACTGGGTGGGACTAAAAAGTTCAATCAATCAATTCCAACTTTGCGAGATCTTTTTTTTCCCCGTAAGAAGTTGAAATTGACTGATTGAAACTTTTTTTTTTTTGCACATGGTGGCGGAATCCTAAAGCGAAAAGGTTTTATAAAACCCAGCTGAAGGCCTAGGACTAGGGTGACAGCGCATGTGCCCACAGAGACGGCTCTGAGTGCCGCCTCTGGCACCCTTGCCATAAGTTCGCCACTACTGTCCTACACCATTTCAGACAAATGTCTGTCCAGTCTCTTCTTAAAAACTTCCAGTGTTGGAGCATTCACCGATTCTCCATTGTTTTCCTTATTTATTTAAGTGAAGTTTCTCCCATTTTACGCAAAAGGGGACCACAGGACACTGCGACCATCATAACTATGAGTCAGTGTTTAAATCTGGATCCCATGACCTGCCATTTTGATCACAGGAGGCTACAATGGTGGTAGGCATGGGAAAAAAAGGTCGTAAGTCAGGTTTTTCAATGCCGGGGTAACTTTGAACAGTCCCTGTCATAAGTCTGGGACTCCCTGTATGCGCCCAGCAAAAAAAAAAAAAAAAATCAACCAGAATCTGGGTCTCCATATCAGCGGAACACGGGCAGAAAATGCCTGTAAGTCCATTTCCAAATTCTCAGGATGGAGAATCCAGGAGGCTGCTAATTTAAGGCGAGAAAGAGAAGCAAAAGCAGAGCAAAAATAGTATATTTTTTTTTAAAAAAAAACTGTGCACCATTAAAAAAAATCAGGCTTTTCATGAAATCTAGATCGTCACAACTGGAGGGGGGGGAAAATATTTATGCAGCTGCGTCTTCTTGAAATACGCAAAGCTGGTTGGAAATTCCGGATATTAAACCACTTGACACTTTTGGGCTTCTTGGCAATCAAGCTTAATTGAGGGAATGGAGAAAATAGACGCAACTACATTTGGTGCACGTAAAGACGCGATGTGCATATTCTGTGCCATTTATGCTCCCAGAATTTGGGTGATGCAAAGGGGGCATCGGCAAAGATTGCTGGCTGGGTTCAGCTGTGTCCCCAACTTTTTCCTTCTCCCTGGAAAGCACCAAAATCAAAACCTTGGCCATCACTCTTTGGCATTTTAGGTACCCAGCCATATCATTCCACTGGTTAATTGTTCCCACCGTCAGGAAATTTCTCCTTAATTCCAGGTTGCTTCTCTCCTTGATTAGAATGGAATGGAATAGAATAGAATAGAATAGAATAGAATAGAATAGAATAGAATAGAATAGAATAGAATTATGGGATAGAATAGAATAGAATAGAATAGAATAGAATAGAATAGAATAGAATAGAATAGAATAGAATAGAATAGAATAGAATAGAATAGAGCTGGAAGGGACCTTGAAGGTCTTCTAGTCCAGCCCCCCGCCCAAACAGGAGAACCTATATATTCTCAGACAAGTGAATGTTTAATCTCTTCTTAAAAGCCTCCAGTGATGGAGTATTGATAACGTCTGAAGGCAAGACTGTTCCACTGGTTAATTGTTCTCACTGTCAGGAAGTTTCTCCTTAGTTCTAGGTTGCTTCTCTCCTTGATTAGCTTCCATCCATTGCTTCTTGTCTGGCCTTCTGGTGCTTTGGAGACTAGCTTGACTCCCTCTTCTTCGGGGCAGCCCCTAAGACACTGGAACACTGCTATCATATCACTCCTGGTCCTGCTCTTCACGAAAGTTGACATCCCCAATTCCAGCAACTGTTCTTCATATCTTTTAGCCTCCGGTCCCCTGATCATCTTTGCTGCTCTTCTCTGTACTTTTTCCTAGTGTCTCAACATCGTTTTTTAATATCGAAAAATGATGAGAGGGAAGGGATGTTTCTCCCCCTCCCTCCTCCCAGCTCCATTCATTACCCTGTAATATAATATTATTTTCCATTTCGAGAAGCAGCAGCTGAGCCCCACGTCTCTCTCAAGGAAGGGTTGAGAAATGGGCTGTTTTGTTGGCTCTTTCCGTTCAGCGCTTCTGAAAGCAATTCACGGTATCAGCAAAACGCCGGAGCTTTTGGGAAGCTGGGAATTTTTCCAAAACCCATTAAAAAAAATCCATCCCTTCCCCCAACGCCTCTGACCTCTCCGTGCTGAGTCTCTTCAAGTCTGGAAGAAACCCAACCATCCATCGTTTCCCCCGTCTTGCAAAGTCTGCAGATATTTTCAAAGGTTTCGGCTGCGTTCACACAACACTTCAGCCCAGGATGGGGAAGGGGGGGAGGTCAACAATTTCCACATGCTGTGTGACCCAGAAGATTATATTTTGCTGTTATACGGTTGGTTGGGACAGAACCCGCTCAGCCGGGATTTCAGGCATTGTGTGAATGCAGACGAAGGGCGATGGAGCTGCAGTTTGCTGACTTTCACGTTACTCCAACACTGGAAGTTTTTAAGAAGAGACTGGACAGCCGCTTGTCTGAAATGGTTTAGGGTTTCCTGCCTGAGCAAGGGGTTGGACTAGATGACCTCCAAGGCCCCTTCCAACTTTATTATTATTATTATTATTATCATTATCATCATTATCATCATCATCATCACCATCACCATCATCAGCAGTATGCTTTAAGATGGGTGGACTGCCACTCCCAGAATTAAACTTTGCTGGCTGGGGAATTCTGGGAGTTGAAGTCCACCCATTTTCAAGTTGGGTCTCTCTGCCCTGTACATCAAGTGCAACTTGCTCGGTTCTCTTGAATTCTCAAACAGATGTGTTGAAAAACAATGTATTTATGTATTTCAGTTGCTGCCTGGAGGTCAACCAGGCCCAGCTTGCGCCCAGCTACAGATGCTCCTTATTAACCTTCTTCATAAACCAGGGGTAGGCAACCTTGGCTCTTTTATGATTGGTGGACTTCAACTCCCAGAATTCCTGAGCCAGCATGGGGGAACTATGGCCCCCTCATGACTGGTGAACTTCAACTCCCAGAATTCCTCAGCCAGCATGGGGGAACTATGGCCCCCTCATGACTTGTGGACTTCAACTCCCAGAATTCCTGGGCCAGCATGGGGGAACTATGGCCCCCTCATGACTGGTGAACTTCAACTCCCAGAATTCCTGAGCCAGCATGGGGGAACTATGGCCCCCTCATGACTGGTGAACTTCAACTCCCAGAATTCCTGAGCCAGCATGGGGGAACTATGGCCCCCTCATGACTCGTGGACAACTCCCAGAATTCCTCAGCCAGCATTAGGGAACTATGGCCCCCTCATGACTCGTGGACTTCAACTCCCAGAATTCCTGAGCCAGCATGGGGGAACTATGGCCCCCCATGACTCATGGACTTCAACTCCCAGAATTCCTGAGCCAGCATGGCTCAGCTTGGAAATTTCTCCGTTTCCCCTCAGCATGGCTGGCTCAGGAATTCTGGGAGTTGAAGTCCACAAGTCATAAAAGAGCCAAGGTTGCCTACCCCTGTCATAAACCATATACAGTTAATCTTTGACTTACAACAGTTTTTTTAGTGACCATTCAAAGTTACGACAGCATCAAAAAAAGGACTTGGGACCGTTTTTCACACTTACGACCATTGCAGCCTCCCTAGGGTCACGTGATCAAAATTCGGACGCTTGGCC